AATCTGTGTGATTTCTGGGACTAAATAATGAGTATGGTAAGTAAGCTGTCTGAGCAAGGAAACAATTTTTATGCGTGTCTTCTCCTAAAAGCTTGTGAAAATGTAAGTGGGAAGTAAATAGAAAGAGAAGACAGAAGACAGATTTCCAGAGCCCCTGAAGAAGTGTCAAGGTAGCAGAAGAGAATAATTTTTTTTAGAATGGGAAGTTCTGTTTGACTGGCAAATGCAAATCAGCCTGTATCAAACAAAAACAGTCCCAATCTGGGGCATGCAAAAAAATCGTCAGGTAAAAAGGTTGTCAAAGCCAACCACCAATCACAGACTGAGACAAGGGAATTTATTGATTGTGTTTCCTTAGATTATTTATTTCCTCTTGCTACCTGAGTATAAAATGAGTTATTCTTTGCAATCACACAAAAAGCTTTAGCACATCATGTGCTACATTTCAAGTACAATACTATGTAGGGGAAAAGTGGAAGATCTTTCAGTAGGCAACTAACACATTTCTGTTCAGACCTTCCTAGTTCTTCAAGTTGACAGAGGCATTGACTGAATCTTTTCTCACTCCATTGATGACCAAACTCTTTTACTCACAAATTCCTACACAGGGATCAAAATATTGTGACAAGATAAAGAACATCAGAAATCACTGTTTACATGGAGGTGGGGTATGAAACAAGGTCTATCTTTAATAATAAAGGAAGACAGCAGCAACAGTAATAAAAACAAAGAGCAAATCTAAACCCCACCTCTTGCCATTCCAAATAAATTATTTTTCTCTACACCAGCTGTCATTTCTAATTTTAGGACGTGTCTTCTCTTCCTCTGTTTTAACCACAATTTGTCAGTCTCTGAAACTGCATCTTCACTCCTTCTTTCTGGTTTTAACCTCTTTCTGTTCCATTCTTCACAGTCATTTCTTTATGCTTGATAAAATCAAGTTTTCCAATAAAGCACAGTTTAAACTCTAAATTCTCTGCCTTCTCTGCCCTTTTTTTCCTCATTTGCCATTCTTCTCTGAATTAACCCATTAACTATCAAAACAGACAAAATAACAGTTCATTTTTTTTATTGCACAGTGGAGTGACACTGCTGCCTTTCTACGAATTATTCCCTCTTCAAGCCACCGTTTGATTTCTTTTGGTGTCCTTTATAAACTATAATTCTTACAGACTTCATTCAGCAGCAGAATTCATGATGTATAGATTATTCTATAATCCCTTTTGCCTTTTTTATTTATGCCCATTAAGACACTGATTACTGGCTCTCAGGTTTTGCAGCCTCAGTTCTTTGCCCTTCTCTCTACAATGTTCATTGTTCTAGCCTGTGTTTTAATAGAAACTCAGATTCTTCTGGTTTAGCAACCCATCGGCTACTGAACAGCCTTGGATAAATCCCACAACCATGCTGAACAAGAAATTCCCCATCTTCTTCAGTTGTAAACCTCACTCCCTTCACTGTCTCCATTACATCTACTTTTCTGCACATTATGGAGTTCTATTACAGCGGCAAACTTGCTACTTTCCTTTTCACCTTCTCTTTTCTTCTTTTCAACAGCAGGTCTGTTAAAAAAAAAAAATCAACCTGTTTTTTTTAAAGCCTGTTAATGTTGTTTCATTAATGTATCAGCTTTGCACTGCCACAAATGTACATGGACAACAAAGTGTAATCATCATCTAATATACAAAGGAGGAGGGAAAAAAACCTTAAGGCATTAAAAATCCAATTTTCAAATATATTTCCTAATTTCAGGAATCTTAGCCATTCACTGTATGCATTTACACAGCATCACTACAAAAGGGTGCTCCTTCTAAATAAAATACCCCAAGCATTTATTCCTTTCACTATCCATTTCTTCAGTTTCTAACTCATAATGTTTCATGGCAACAAAGTATCGGATAAAAGTTTCACCTAATGCTTCCTTAATGCAGGAATCTTTCTCGAGTGCAACAAGAGCATCTTCTAGTTTCAGAGGGACTGAGGAATGTTTCAGATCACCAGTATGATTTTCTTCTTCGAGCNAAACCTCCAGGGATGGCGAATCCACCACCTCTCTGGGTAGGCCGTTCCAATGCCTGATTACCCTCTCCGTAAAGAATTTCTTCCTAACATCTAACCTAAACCTCCCCTGGCAGAGCTTGAGCCCATGTCCCCTTGTCCTATTGTTGGTTGCCTGGGAGAAGAGACCAACCCCCACCTGGCTATAACCTCCCTTCAGGTAGTTGAAGAGAGTGATGAGGTCACCTCTAAGCCTTCTCTTCTCCAGACTAAACAACCCCAGCTCCCTCAGCCTCTCCTCATAGGACTTGTGCTCAAGTCCCTTCACCAGCCTTATTGCTCTTCTCTGGACCCGCTCCAGCACCTCAATATCCTTCCTGAACTGAGGGGCCCAGAACTGGACACTGCACAGCACTCCAGGTGTGGCCTCACCAGTGCTGAGTACAGGGGAAGGATCACTTCCCTGCTCCTGCTGGCCACACTGTTCTTGATTCAGGCCAGGATGCCATTGGCCTTCTTGGCCATCTGGGCACACTGCTGGCTCATGTTCAGCCTCCTGTCGATCAGCACCCCCAGGTCCCTTTCCGCCTGGCTGTTCTCCAGCCACTCTGTGCCCAACCTGTAGCGCGGCAGGGGGCAAGAGATTTAGGTCTGATATTATTTCTTCAATGTGATACAAAAACAATATGGATAATACATATAGTGTATGTAATAAACTTCATGGTAATTAAATTCAGTTAGAGAAGTTCAATATATATTATCTCTTTAAAACTGACTATACACAGTAACAGATAATTATAAATCCATGACAAATGATAAAATGTCTTATAAACCCAAACCAAGGAATATCTATTAATCTGTGTGATTTCTGGGATTAAATAATGAGTATGGTAAGTAAGCTGTCTGAGCAAGGAAACAATTTTTATGTGTGTCTTCTCCTAAAAGCTTGTGAAAATGTAAGTGGGAAGTAAACAGAAAGAGAAGACAGAAGACAGATTTCCAGAGCCCCTGAAGAAGTGTCAAGGTAGCAGAAGAGAATAATTTTTTTTAGAATGGGAAGTTCTGTTTGACTAGACCTGGCAAATGCAAATCAACCTGTATCAAACAAAAACAGTCCCAATCTGGGGCATGTAAAAAAAGTGTCAGGTAAAAAGGTTGTCAAAGCCAACCACCAATCACAGACTGAGACAAGGGAATTTATTGATTGTGTTTCCTTAGATTATTTATTTCCTCTTGCTACCTGAGTATAAAATGAGTTATTCTTTGCAATCACACAAAAAGCTTTAGCACATCATGTGCTACATTTCAAGTACAATACTATATAGGGGAAAAGTGGAAGATCCTTCAGTAGGCAACTAGCACATTTCTGTTCAGACCTTCCTAGTTCTGCAAGTTGACAGAGGCACTGACTGAATCTTTTCTCACTCCATTGATGACCAAACCCTTTTACTCACAAATTCCTACACAGGGATCAAAATATTGTGACAAGATAAAGAACATCAGAAATCACTGTTTACATGGAGGTGGGGTATGAAACAAGGTCTATCTTTAATAATAAAGGAAGACAGCAGCAACAGTAATAAAAACAAAGAGCAAATCTAAACCCCACTTCTTGCCATTCCAAATAAATTATTTTTCTCTACACCAGCTGTCATTTCTAATTTTAGGACGTGTCTTCTCTTCCTCTGTTTTAACCACAATTTGTCAGTCTCTGAAACTGCATCTTCACTCCTTCTTTCTGGTTTTAACCTCTTTCTGTTCCATTCTTCACAGTTATTTCTTTATGCTTGATAAAATCAAGTTTTCCAATAAAGCACAGTTTAAACTCTAAATTCTCTGCCTTCTCTGCCCTTTTTTTCCTCATTTGCCATTCAACTCTGAATTAACCCATTAACTATCAAAATAGACAAAATAACAGTTCGTTTTTTTATTGCACAGTGGAGTGACACTGCTGCCTTTCTATGAATTATTCCCTCTTCAAGCCACTGTTTGATTTCTTTTGGTATCCTTTATAAACTATAATTCTTGCAGACTTCATTCAGCAGCAGAATTCATGATGTATAGATTATTTTATAATCCCATTTGCCTTTTTTATTTATGCCCATTAAGACACTGATTACTGGCTCTCAGGTTTTGCATCCTCAGTTCTTTGCCCTTCTCTCTACAATGTTCATTGTTCTAGCCTGTGTTTTAATAGAAACTCAGATTCTTCTGGTTTAGCAACCCATCGGCTACTGAACAGCCTGGGATAAATCCCACAACCCTGCTGAACAAGAAATTCCCCTTCTTCTTCAGTTGTAAACCTCACTCCCTTCACTGTCTCCATTACATCTACTTTTCTGCACATTATGGAGTTCTATTACAGTGGTAAACTTGCTACTTTCCTTTTCACCTTCTCTTTTCTTCTTTTCAACAACAGGTCTGTTAAAAAAAAAAATCAACCTGTTTTTTTTTAAAGCCTGTTAATGTTGTTTCATTAATGTATCAGCTTTGCACTGCCACAAATGTACATGGACAACAAAGTGTAATCATCATCTAATATACAAAGGAGGAGGGAAAAAAACCTCAAAGCATTAAAAATCCAATTTTCAAATATATTTCCTAATTTCAGGAATCTTAGCCATTCACTGTATGCATTTACACAGCATCACTACAAAAGGGTGCTCCTTCTAAATAAAATACCCCAGGCATTTATTCCTTTCACTATCCATTTCTTCAGTTTCTAACTCATAATGTTTCATGGCAACAAAGTATCGGATAAAAGTTTCACCTAATGCTTCCTTAATGCAGGAATCTTTCTCGAGTGCAACAAGAGCATCTTCTAGTTTCAGAGGGACTGAGGAATGTTTCAGATCACCAGTATGATTTTCTTCTTC